AAATGCACGAATATTTACTCGTGGCGTTTGGCGCAAATTATTGATAGTGACCCGCCTTTTATGATTCTTAGACAGGTGTACTGTTGCAAAAGTATACACACAAGTATATTTAGAGCAGTACTCCCAAAAGCTTTATGGTTTGCGCGTTGGGGATGAAACAGAAAAAGGCGACAAAACAAAAGAAAAAGGCGACATGGGTTCTAGTTATTATTATCCCTTTTTTCGGGAGTTACACATCCGACTTAGGTAAAAAATTTTGAATCGAACTTTTCAGCTCGATTATACGAGTAACTTTTAACATTTTTACCAAATGGGGTGGGATTTAGAACATAGATATAATGGACTTCTACAAGAAAGTATGGTCACCATGCTAATGTATGCACGTGTGTGCACGTGAAATGAGTAAAATCCAAAATACCCTTGAATGAGCGTATTTTTAATACTTTTGGATTAAATACTTCAATATTTAGTACATTAAAATATATAGATTGTGTAGACAATATGATATGGTCATTGCGCACATGCATTCACACGCGTGCAATACTAAAATTTGAATGAACTTGGTACACTTCTTGGTAAACGTTGTTAAAATCTCAAATGCATAGAGTTTGTCTTATTTAATGAAGCTTACAGGGGATATGGCACCAAAAGGGAGTTGGGGAGCGTTTGGGGAACATCTGTAACGGTCCCCGTTACAATTAGCACTAGTTAATTTCGTAACCAATGAGAATCTACTAAGTATTCTCCATTACATAACGCCGAGAAAGTCAAGTCCTACTGAAAGTCCAAAGATAGGGTAAAATACTCATACAATGAGCATGGATCTTGATTTTCTTGAACTGCCGCAAAATTTTGAGTGGGATCGAAGATCAAACGCTCTTACAGATAGGTCAGTTGATAGAGGACGAATAAAATGAAGTAAACGTGTTTGATGGTATTGAGGATTTATCTCTTACTCAAGAGTATTTTCATTTGACCCAAGACCCGGTTACACCCGAGAATGTTACACAGCAGATGGACCATTCTGACGATCGATTTGTGAAGTCTTGACGATGATATGGAAACCCTTCTAAAGTCTACAGAGGGTAAAAAACAAGAAAAAAAACACAAGTTGGAGTGTAAATAAAGTTTTATTTTTTTAAATGCAATTCAAGGTTCCGCCTATAGGTTATGAGGACTCCGCCCATGGGTTATAGTGTAGATAACCCACAGATAAAACAATAAAAAAATGGCGACCTATGGTACATATATAATATTTTACATTTCGTGATGGTCTCAAATTTGTTGGTCCTTGCTTGCCTCGAAAACAACGAATATTACCCCCCCCCCCCTCCCCCAAATTTAGTGATTTCACAGTAAGTCTCTTAATTAGGCGAAAAATAAAGATATAGCGCTGTCTTAAGTCTCTTAATTGTAATTTATGTCAAAATGCTTACCGTATATCTGGAATTTTTTTTACATCAGTTTTATTTTGCGAATCTGGGTCAAAATGCTGTTGATTAATTTTAACGTTTCAAACTTTTGCGAATGACCACTACTTTGATTACATTTTCTTATTATTGATTTTTTTTAAAGAAAAATGTTTTTGCGAATGCAATGAATTCGCAAATTTGATTAAAAACTATATACAGCAAAACTTTCCAGATTTACGGTAGTTACTGGAACCAGACTTCTATTTTTAAACTGAATTTGAAATATAGGTATCAAGATTAATTTTATTTTGTATAATTAAATTTGATTTTTTTTCAACAAACGATTTGCTGTGTCTAGAAGCACAGCAGAAAGTGATGTCAGTCAGGAAGTGATGGCCAAAGTCCAGGTAATCAGTTTTTTTTTATTTTAGTGGGAGGTATTTGTCCTCACAGGACAGTTCTATTTAAAAATTAGAGCTAAAGGGAATTTTTTGACCTATATATACCTAATCGACATTTACCTAAAAAATTACAGTATTATCAATGAACAATTTTTATACAATGTGCAAGCTTCACTAAAAACATGTAAATAAAGCTGATATGAAAATGAATTTGCAAAGAAGATGACATGTATCCTATAATAATAATAAAGCCTTTATTCATCCAGGATGACATACTTAATATTGTTATACCTTTAAAAAATTGTTTCTATACAAATCTATACAAAAAAGTCTAACATTTTTAATGTTTTGCTAAGCGGGCATAAAAAAATCGATGTTGGACCGCTGAGTGAAATGTTGGACCGCTCGGAGAGATGTTGGACCGCTTACGTCACAGAATGGGCGGAGCTTAATCTCGTTTTCATTCGTTGGTGTTAAACAGTGACAGACCTGATGTTATATTACGGAATATAATACAAAATACATGTATGTCAAAAAATATAAAATAAAATGAAAGGTATAACAAAACATTTATTGACAGAGTTCTCGGGCAAAATGCGTTTTGTCGGACCCTCGAACCAAACTGTCTGCCTTCGGCCTAACGGCCTCAGGCAGACAGTTTGGTTCTTGGGTCCGACAAAACGCATGTTGCCCTCTAACTCAGTCAATAAATGTATAATGTTAGTTTTCAATATGGTCCTGCATTAAAACATACTTACAGACAGGTATTAGTAAAACACAGTTTAAAAGAAATAGAGAACATATAAGATTAAAAAAAATGAAATACAAGATAAAAGAATATTACACAAAATTGAGACGCATGGTGGTATTCTCTTATATTGTCACTCAATGTGTTCCATAGAGTGCTGCCTGAAACAGCAAAAGATCTCTTATAGTACTCAGTTTTTGCCCTTTGTACATACAATAAATTTGAATTGGAATTTCTAGTTTGTCTTTGACTAACATCTGATACATAATTAAACACGTTCAAATAATCAGGCATCAATCCACATAAAACTTTAAGAACTAAAGTGACTTTTCTAAAGATAAAATAATCTGAAAGAGGCATCCAATTTATTTTTGTAAACATGACAGTAGATGGCGTTTGAAAATTTCTGATGTTCAAAATGACCCTAGCTACACGTTTTTGTAATATTAAGTTTTTTTTTCTTCACATTTTCAGCATTTTTCGGATTACTCCATATAGTAAAACTGTATATAAAATGAGGGAAAATCATGGTATTAAAAATCTTCAACAATGCATCATTTGACATAAAATATCTTATTCTTCTTGAAATACCAATTCTCTAAGAGATCTTGCATACAAGTGCTTCAATGTGACTTTTCCAGGACAAAGTTTTATCAATAATAACACCAAGTAATTTTGACTCTTGAACACATTCTATGACATGATTATTTACAACTAAATTTAGTTTTCGACATTTTGATAATCTTTGTGACGTTCGCTTTAATGAAAAAACAGTGAAAACCATATTCAGAAGTATACATTTAAAATCTCCGTAACTAGTTTGAAATTAATTTATCTTCCTGTGTATCTTTACGTGTACATTCATTATTTTTTAATGATAAAAGATATGTATTGATAATAAAAGTGAAATGTGTTTTATCGTTTAACATATCGCGATTTAATTTTCAGCAATTAAATCGAATTATTAGAGAAAACCACACATATATAAATTTCTTAAATTTTAATGGAGAATAATGGCCATGGCAGCACTACAATTTTCAGGAAATTACATTTAGTTACTGGTTACAATCATAACCAAGGTTACCGACCCAAATACATTGGGCGATTTTGGCAACCCAAATGGCAAATGGCAAATACATGTAAATGAAAATCATCATGAAATGGGCAAATACATTGGGTGATTTTGACAACCCAAATGGCAAATGGCAAATACATGTAAATGAAAATCATCATGAAATGGGCAAATACATTGGGTGATTTTGACAACCCAAATGGCAAATGGCAAATACATGTAAATGAAAATCATCATGAAGTAGGCAAATATAGAAATGAATATGAAATAGGCAAATATACAAATGAAGCTGTTAAGCAACCTACTGGCAAATAATACATTGCAAATGTTTCATCCAGTCTGACACAACTACGCAAATTGAAATTTCACACATATTGAAAATAATTATGTACAGTTGTAGCGAGCCCTGGGAACAGATGCTCACTAAATATAACCCTATTTAAGTTCAGCTAAAGATTGCGCCAATGGACACTATGTGTCCACCGCCACAATGGCGGTAGCTGAACGCTTATTTTTACCCCCCCCCCCCCCCCCCGGCACCCCTCCTTTTCAAAGAATGGCAAAGCAAATAAATTAACATTGCATACCAAGACAAATGTGTATAAAACAATCACATCAGCTACATCTATTGTGTGTCTATTTTAGTGTGCTTTACATTATTTAGTCAGTGAAATAGAGTGCCATGGCCATTAAAGCCCACCCTTGACATTTTAAAATTATGCAATGCTTTCCTTAAAGTTTCAACAAATATCTCATTGCCTTGCTCAGACAAGTGTACCCCATCCTCTTAAAGTAGAGTATGATCAACCAAAGTGAACTCTGGGCAACAAATATATCCCCCTCGATGGGCCAACAACAAAGCTATAAACTCAAAACCCGACTTTAGTAAGAGCATGGTTGTCCATAGCATTACGCCAAATCAATCTAGGTAATATCTGAAACCAAATAATTTTCCATAATTGCTGTTTGGTAACAGAACTTAAATTGAATCAGAAGAATTATTTATGCTATAATGCAAAACACATAATGTAATTTGACCAATGTCTTTGCCATTGCAATGTAGAACAAGATTATAATTGTGGGGTATCTTCATACCTTAACATTAATTTGATTTTTGGGAGGAGATGTCACCATTTTTTAACACATTAAAAAATAAACAAATTTTTATCTTGAGATGCAGGATATGTCTGCTCCCCTTCATTCTCTAACGGAAAAGGAAGTCCTAAGGATTCGACTAAAATACCAAAAGATGAAAGAACAGGGAAATACTAATGACCCGATAACCCCGAATATGGGCCTCTCTAATAATAATTTATCAATAACATTACATACATCATTTATTATATATAGCAGTGATGTGATGGATTTCATTGCATATACTTGATTTTCTTCACTTGTCTTTTTCTATATTGAGCAACAAACAGATTGTCATTTGCATCGGTACAAAGCCCCAAGGGTTGGCTCAGTCCACAGTCTATGTAACGGAGGAACTGTCCATCGTGGTCTATGATGTGGACACAGTCATTGTAATAATCAGTTGTAAGGATATTTCTCTGATTGTCTGTGGTGATTCCCACTGGATTAAATTGTTCGACCTTTAGAGCAGGAGTATGACCAGTGTATCTGAATCTCAATTTCCCAGCTTGACTGACCACCACTACTGCATTAGCTCCTTGGTCAGACACACAGATATCCAGGTTCTTGTTCTCAGTAATGAATCTACCAGATAAATACAGGCGTTTACATTTATCATCAAACTGAAGAACTTGTTTCACTGTAGAGCTAAAGTAACGGACAACTTTTGATTGTTTGTCACCATCACTGTTCATGATAACCAGGAGGTCATCAGAGGAGGTGCAACAGACACCAAGGGGTATCCATTTTTGTAGTCTGATCACCTTCTCTATCTTCTCATTCTTCACAATGTTTACAGTTCTATTATTGTAATTGGTATATACTAGATCTCCACTTTTTGTCACTTTTATGTCAGATGGTGTGTTCCCTGACTTGGTTGTGATTGACTTGAATAGTGATCTCTGATTGATGCTGTCAGTTTCATGGTCTTGTCAAGTCCACTTGTCCAGATTTCTTCATCACTCAGACAGGCCACATAGTAAAGGTAATTATACCCAGTGTTTATGGTGGTGACAGTTTCTGGTTGATCAAGCAGTTGTTTGACTGGAGGAGAGGATCCAGCTTCTTGTGATTTCTGTGTTGTCTCCATGCTAAAGCCATATTCATCTTCATATTCAACTTGCAAGATTTTAGATACCTCATGACCTAAATGTTGATAAGAATCAAGGGAATTGATGCAGACAGGAATGTCACATTGTTTACAATACATTACACACGGTTCTTTGTTATGTGATTTACACTTAGGATAGAGGGGACCTGATTTTCTGCCCTTGAAGTCGACAATTTTGTGAGGTTTTGAGAGATCAGCTGAAAAATGTACTCCCATACAGGCCTTACACAGGTTGACAAGACATGTATTGCAGTGCATCTCTACCACAGCGGTCTTACACAGGTCACATCGTATCACGTCCTGGGCACTGGTACGGGGATCCATCATTAGAGTTCTTGACTGAAGCATAAAAAATTTGATAAATCATATATTTATTGACTGGATTTGAGGGCAGCATACATTTTTTTGAACCACAAAGCCACAGTCTGACTGAGGCCATAGGTGAATACACATGTCGACAAAACAAGGCATCACATTACATATACTGTACAAGGTTCATTGAATCTTTCAAGTATGATATTTTAGTCTCATGGTAAAAGCCTATAATACTTAATTTTTAATTACCCTTAACTGTATTATGCAAAGAAATACTACAAATTTTTCCTACCTGACTTTAGTAATGGTGACCGTCCTGTACTATCTCCTATCTATCTTTATGTACTCAGATAACGTGACACACCTGTGTTATCTACCTGCTAGGTGTTAATACTTCCTGGTCGAGCAGGGGATGCAAGATCTATTTAATATAGATCGTTTCATGAAATGTGAATTTAAATATTTTTTATATTCTTAAAATTTTACTTTAAAGATTTTGCAGCATTGTTAAGGTTTGAAAAGGGGGGGGGGGGGGGGCAGGGCCTAATTTATACGGGAAAAGTTTACTGTGACGTCACATAAAAATATGACTTTTATGTATTTCTCATAATACCTGAAAATAAAATAATTTGCAATTTTTAACTGTATTAGCACAATAACAATAAAACTTATCAATGCATTAAAAAACTTGCTAGTTAAATTCCATGTAGCTGGTTATAAACAAAGCACTGATAGTGATGAACTGGTAAACATGACTTCATTTTGATAAAAATGACGAATTTCATGTTGTGAGGGTGTGGGTTATACACCCTGATGAACTTACAAAAATCAAAGGAAGAACTTTAAAATTTTATCAAAATTTAATAAAAAAAAATTAAAGAAAATTATCAAACAGAAATTTTAATAAAGAATATTAACCAAAAAAAATGTACAAAATAAAAAAAATTAAAAATGTCTTTGTTAGTTGGTCCTGGTCCACGTCAGTCAGTGCACATGTCCCTAGGTATGAATTGGTCCCGTTTGCCCTGGTCCTTCCGTAAGTGCGGAAATCCTTTGAGAACAGAATTTTACAGTTTCCTTTTAGTATGGTTGCACGGAACAATGTTAATTAATAACGGGATGCGTGGCACACTGGGTTCCTGTCGGGTTCCAGAAACAATGGTCCGACGCCAGGCTCAACACTTGGAAATGTCTTTCAATGACACTTAATATTCAGAATTATTTCCAAATTCACAATATTCACAAACTTTCACAATGAGTCGTTCATATAATGACTTTAAATCAGATAATGAAATGTTCAACGTGGGTCACTGCCCGATGGTATAACTCACAGAACTGGTTTTAGAGATGTGTCGTATGGGCCGCCATAGTTGGCACAAACGCTACGGTCTCTGTCATACACCATAACATGGAAATGGCTACTCTCTAGATAAAGAATTTCAGTACCCGAAAGTTTACATACTCTGTAACATTCTGTAGAGAGACTTTAAGGCATGAAAATGATACTCAAGACCCATGTGGTTGTCTATGGACAGGTCCCCTGGTAGCACTAGACGAACACGTCTATCGGCTGATGTTTTTCCCGGGTACTACCCTGAGCACGCTTTAACATTACTATTTAAAGTAAATTTAGTAAAACGAGGGGCTCCCCACAGGGCTGCTATGTTACCATGGGAACTTAGGAATTTAGGGGCTCCCCACAGGATTATTAAACAAATTACCGGAAGGGTTAACCAAGGGGATTTTTGTACAGGTATGATTAAGAAAGCCATGGTTACTAAAGGTAAAAAGATCTTTAAACTGCTTTCAAAAAAATTACTCCTGATACAAGTTTGGTCCAATATCAACAACGCTTGATTCAAAATTAAACTATACGAAGATAAATAATTCTCTTTAAAAGTTTTTGATATTGACCAATCGTTTTGACATGGTAACTGAAAGTATACATTTCTGTGAAATTCTTTTAAAACTACTGCCTCTACAGTTCTTTTCAACAAGTAGGTTGTATTAAGATATCTTTTTGTTATAAAAATACACCATTAGAGGCACAGTCTTGTCAGAGGCGTGTTTCCTCCTTTTTAAACTGTTAATTATATTTATATAAAGATAAACTTAAAGTCATATACGCTATATGAACGCCGAATTTTGTGTGAAACAAAATGATTAATGATTTAAAACACATAAAGTGTAATGAAAAATAATACTTTCCACAAAATTGTACTATAGATGTCGTTGTAATAACAAAACAATTAAACATATCTAGGAATTAAGAATTCAGTCTTTTCATGAATATTGATGAAGGAAGTGCGTAAACAGTAGGCCTATATATAGAAACACATGTCCACGGGAAATCACAGACAACGAGGTATGTTGCATTTTGACAACAATTATTAATATAAGGTCAATATGAGTCATAACAGAGAAGATGGTTGAAACAGAATACATTAAAAGATAAGTACCATTAAGAGTAAGACGCTTGCCATCCACGTCAAAAGTGAGTAGTATCTCAAACGGCCTACCATGTTTTCTTTACGCCACGTGTGTTTATCAATCTAAAAGTAGCGACGGCGTCACGTGATGGATTTATTTAAAAATAGATATTTTTCTTTCCTTGCAGGATAATAAATAATTATAATTTGATAACTTTGTAACGCGTTTAATTTTAATGGTGTAATTTACAGTATTTTTGTAACTTTTATTGATAAACAAATTATATCAATTTCCAATCGTATTTTAACTGGCGCAAGTTATAGCGTGTATACTTTTAACTGTACAAGCAATAAAATGTGAAGATAGTTATAGTGTGAAGAATATAAACACGATGGAGGATTATGTTTCAGATTCTTGATATCCAGGCTATTTTTGTAATTAAAAAATTTGGAAGCAAAATCTAGTCGATGTATATTTGTTGGAAATACAAGGTGTAGTCTTTAACTTGAAATATGGTGGAATACAAGACTGGGTCTTTTTGTGATTAAGAATTTTACGTATATTAACCGCATCAATTCTTTTATTTTCATATTGAAGTTTAAGAAAAAGATGGATAGTTTTAGCTGCATTTTCTTCAGAAAAACGTGTTGGGTTAAAAAGCCTATGATAATCTTATGCGTGAAAAGAACAAAATACTTGCTGTGCCTTCAACTCGACATTTAGATATATCGACGGCATATTGTCAATTAACAATGGTAATTTCCATTCCTATGCCGATGCGATATAACCTGGTGAGCTTGAGATAAAAGATACCACAAAGTCTGACACATCTTTTTCGTACTTGAAAAAGACGTTAATGGTAATCTAACAACCAAGCTATATAATAATCGTGATGACTTTAACTTTTCTATCGTCAACTTCCTTTACTTATGCAGCAATATACCTTCATCATCTGCATATGGAGTATATATATCAGTTGATTCGATATGCAAGAGCACGCTCTACGTATGAACAATTTCTAAATCGAGGTAATTTTTTGTCAAACAAGTTGATGAAACAAGAATATCAGCTGTCTCGTTTAACGTCATCATTTCATAAGTTCTATGGTCGATACAATGACTTTGTCAGCAAATACAATTATCATTGAGTCAAATGCTGACTGACGTTTTTCAAACCAATTGTTAGTCCATTATTTATTCACTGAATTGACGACGGATTTTTCCGTTATTTCCTGATTATGACAACGACTAACATCTTACCGAGATCTGTAATCAAAGCGAAGGACGCAGGAAATAAAAAAATCCTTAAACAGTCAAGGTTCCTTTAATTTTAAGCAGGGTATATCGATTACAAATATTTTAGATCAATTGGACACATCATGTGTTAAACATACATATACATGTATCAAATATGCACTGCGTTTAAATCAAAGTGTATATACAATTTGCAACTTATCATAAACAAAATTAATCACTAAAAGATTTTTATCAAATGATATAAAAATGAATTTGTATTTATGAAGCTCACAACAAAAATTAAAATAATAGGGTTAAAATTAAATTGCTTTAGCCATGGGAAAATGCATTTATAGTTTATAGTTTCGTTATCTCTATATATCTTACATGTATATCATCTAGTTAACTGACACTAAAAATTGTATCGCTTTATATATTTGACATCTAGAGGATACACTTTTTAATTTCGTACAGTTGTTTTAAAACAATATCAAAAACAATTATGTAAGGAAAATACAATGATTAATAAATATGAAAGTTGCAGAAGCTCGTTAGCTTGAGCATAAGCCACCACTCCATTTTTGGAAGCAGAAGTTCGGAATTGTAGAAATACTGGATCGCTTCTTTGTGTTCCATACTCTGTAACAAAAGACATGTTGTAACTTGTTTCGGGGTCCAAATCTGTCAAATCAAGCCAGTCGGTGTATGGCTCTACATGTAGGACATGAACTCGGTCATTGGATGAACGGAACTCTACTACAACCGTTGACATCTCGTAACAAGTTGAGGGCATGGTCCAGTTCAGACGAACACCATTGTCAAAGGTTTCAGTTATGGTTAAATTAATTGGGTCAGGGTCTAAAACGACAAATCACTCAAATATTGAACCTGTAATGCAATCATGGGCATAATTCAACTATGTAACATTCTGAGATCTGAACACTGATTATTTAAGGATGACGTTTACTCAGATGACAAAAAATCCACTGATAAAAACGAAAAAAAAAACACCTATTGCATATTGTACACCTATGATTCCTGTGTTAAATTTCACTTTCAAATAACTAGGTCAATGACCTACTTTTCGTGCTAGTGGCCCCTGAGAATTTCTCGTAAAATGCCCCATTTTTTCACACTATGACCGAGTTTTTCTTTATTCACAAAATATTACAAGCAACAATAATCTTTCAATAATGAAATACAATAAGAAATGGAACGACTTGGCTTCATAAACATATAAATGAACAATTAGAATTTGAGCCATAAACTTATTATTACCCTCCGAATTTCCTTTGTCAGATTTCTATTTGCCCCCCCCCCTCTCCTATTTTTGATGAATTACAACAAAAATCTGATTGATAAGAACTTTAAATTATTTATAATCCCAATTTACTTTTGTTGTTCTTATTCTATTGGTATTAATATTATATGAGGTCAGTGATCAAATGATTGAGATATGTTGTCTGGAAGTTTTTTGTTCATATTTTTGAATTTCTTAATTTAATGGCATTCAATTATTTGAAATAATTCATGAGCTTTCAAGCATATGCAAAATGTTGTATAAAAATACATGTAATTTTTAACTACTTTGTAATAAATATTGAAAGAAATTATATTTTGTGACAAAAATAAAAAAAAAATTATAAATTTAGTCCGAATTTCCTCTGCATACCATATATTGACTTTGTTCTTACATATTTTCTTCAAATAACAAAATATCAATTTTTAAATTGTTGGTTATATTATCCATTTATATTAATTTTTGACTTAATAAAATTTCCTTTTTCTCTTCTGAAACCCGAGTAAACGTAATCCTTGAATGAATGTGTAATCTCCACACAATGAAGATACATACATTCATCCATTCCGTCCAGCGAGGACAAATCTGTCAGCTGCAAATAGTGAACAAAACAGCAGCAAAGATATTGACAGAAAAAAAAACAAATAAAATGTGAGTAAGGAAAATCAATTATTTGAATTTCTAGCATCCGAGGGGACAGAACTTCTTACTATTGAACTGTAAAACGCAGGTTTCATAGCCATGTTATATACAGCCAGATTCAGTAAGACAGACTCCTTTGCCATTTTTTCCTTTGACACAACAAACCAGCAGTTATTTATGTCCAGGGTGTGGCGGTAATAAAAGTAGCTTCCTACAGACGTTGTGTATCCTGCTTTCAATCCTGGATCCGCCTACAGTGAAAGGAAAACATTGTTTATGATTCAAGTCTTGTGTTTAATTTTTTCCTATTGTAAAAAAGGAAATTTCTTTTTATGTAATAGGAAAAAATTAAACAATTTTTGTTTGATTGGATTTCATCTCTGATTTCTAGGATGATGAAACATGACAGTGTTGTTTTTCTTTATACAAACTAAACAAAAAAGCTTTAAATAATTATACAAGAAATAAAACTGGATAGGAAGAAATTCTTTACTTCTGTTTTGTTTCCTGGGATATTAATTTCCTTGAATAGTTTATAATTTCTTCCAGAAGATCTTAGCTCCACGTGAATTCCTTGTATCCCACTTTCTCTGTCAAAGACATCTACCTGTAGCCTGAAAAAATCATTTGACTATATATATATTACTAATTGCTCATGATATCATTTATGTGTGTATTTGTGAGGGTGTGTGAGAGTGTGAGAGAGTAGGTGTGTGAGTGAGGGTGTGTGTGTATGTGTGTGAGAGGGTGTGTGTGTGAGGGTGTGTGAGAGAGAGAGAGAGAGAGAGAGAGAGAGAGAGAGAGAGAAATTAATTCTTTGATTTTCATGTTTTTCATTTTCTTAAAAAAATTGAAAATTCTTTAATTTTCTTACCGACTTGAGAAAGGGTAAGTGGCATTTTTAACGTTCCTCGTAAATATGACGTCTGAAGGGTTTAAACTTTCTGGCGGACTGGAATCAAAGGAAATCTTCGTCAAGTCAACTTTCGTATTCCCCATGATGTCAGTCGCCTTGACCCAAAAGTTAATGGTATCGCCATCTTTTCTCTCAATATTAAAAGCCTGAGTTTCTGAAAATGTATCATTCACCTTATACCAGAATTGCGGGGTTCTCTCCCCTTGATTTCCGTGTCTGTAGAAATATTCAAATTTAACTATACCATGAACATTCCGGATTTCTTTCAGTGTCCTTTTCCCCGAGTTATCATCAAGTTGGTTTGGAACTTGTTTTTCAATGTTTGCATCATAATTGAAATTTTTAAACTGTGCTACTGGATTTAAAAGTTTATTGTCCTCATGGAATTTGTTCTGAAAATGTCCTTTCCATGACATGATAATATCCTTGTCGAGGTTATTTTGCCATTGAAAGTTAGTTTCAGCTTCTGCGCTTCTTGCCATAAATGGCAATTTAGAGAGAGTGATATTTGAAGTAGGGTCATATAACACCAAGGTACGTGCGTATTGTACATTGTTGGCTCTGTCTATTACATTAAGTATAAAGGAATACATTCCTGATCTCCTAGGATTGTAAGTATATCTTGTTTCTAGTGCCGAAAGGGATATTTCCTCGTCTGGGTGCCACGGATTTGGTTCCGCTAAGTTTGTTGTGTTCAGCTGCAGCAAATAAACTTGTACTTTGTAATCTTGGATTCCAGAAAGCTTATCCACCCACTTGTTCCATTCCAATTCTATTGGAGACTTTATAAAAAAAATAAGGTAAAACATATAATTTATTATTTAAGTTTATCATGCTTATATTGAATCCAGAATCTTTATGACTATTTAGCGTTTGCCTTTCTTAAAAGTGGATGCTTCCAGTTGAACATAATCCATACACAACCAGACTGAAAACGAACATGAAGCTATAACGCCTCTGTCCACTAACCTTCAGAACCATTTCTAGCTTAGTTTGGACTTTCAGTAAGGCGTGGCATTCTCGACGTTTAATAATTGGCTTCTGAAATTTACACAGCTTTCCTTCACTGTTGAAATATTTATGGGATAGAAATTCGGGCAAATGCCGATTAGTGTATCGAATAACTGACTACTTTGTCTCATCCTGCAAAGAGGTGGAGCTTAAGTCGTCTCCTCGATGTCGGCAACATTTTAAAGTTCCTGATGTTATTAATTTCTTAACCAATGAGAATCTATTTACCATTTGACAGGCGGTAAACATGTAGCGCCGGGAATGCCACGCCTTACTGAAAGTCCAAACTAAGCTTGAAATGGTTCTATATCAAAAATAAAACTGTTTTAGAGAAGTATATCTTAACAAGGTTCAATTGAAATAAATCGGAGAACACGTTTAAGATACCTTAGTGACATCTTCCACAACATCCAGTGCTTTCGCCTCACATGGTCCGTCTAGGAGACAGTGATGTGGCTTTACCAAATCGAAGCGAAACATTGTAGATTTTGTAGACATCTCGTCGATAAATAAGTCTTTTTCAAAAATACCCCAGATTTTAGTAAAAGCTGTCAGGGTTAAACTGTATATAAAAAAGTCAAAACCTTCATTACATTCTCCAAAATCAGGAGTCCTAGTTCTTATTTTATATTTAGATGTCATTTATTTGAGACTTTATAGTTAAAAATGAATAGACATCCTCCCTCAAACCCCTCTACCACACAATTTTGAAGAGAATTTACTTGTCTCCGTGTTCCAGCTGCATGTCAAACTTGTCATCCGTGTAGTTACATTGAAATAAATCCACGCTGGGATAGAGAGAACTGGGCTGACTCTCACAGAGGTGGGTTTCATTTCCACTCACAAAGGGCGTCTTTTCTAGTTATAAAGATAAGTGTATACAATTTCTAGTATTTTCAAAAATTCATAATAATATTGAACTTGGTACTTAATCTACAAATTGTAGAAGCACAAATTTTCCTGAGAATAAAATTCTGATGATTTGTAATCTATTGGAAGAGATAAGACAGTCAAGGTGAGCAGACGTGTTTTCTGGCGCTCTTATCTCTCTAGTAAGATTATATTGAAGATAACAGCTACACAATGGAAAATAATGGATATTAGTTCAAATACGAGTTTTTTTAGATCAATTCTGGACTCTTTTAGTGGACTTTCAAATTCATTTGTTACAAGTTATAATGAATCGACGACAGAAGATGTAAATATACCAGACTATTTGAAAGTGAAGTTAAATAATGAGAGTGTCACCATTACTTTTGAGGATGAGGGCTATTCTAAAATATCAAGACTCTTGCAGAAGAACCTGATTTTCTACAATCGGAGTAATAGAAATGGATGGATTTATAAGACCTCATGTAAAACTGTAACTGTAACACTATACAAATCTACAGACTCCCTCCATATCCAAGGAGATGTTGCTTTCACCTTGTACAAAAAAATCCTGCAAGAACTCGTAAATGTTGTGGAACCTGTCATCGCTGAAATATCTACCCAGCCACAACCCCAGTCAGCTTCAACACCAAAAGCTATTAATAAATGTAGAAACAATGAGCTCAATGAATGCAGCAACTGCGATAGTGCAGCTACGATCAAACAATTAACCGAGACTGTCAAATTCCTCACCCTTGAGGTAGAAAAACTAAAAGAAAAATTGAGCTCTAGGGGACCCAAATCCTCAGTGTCTGCCAGTACACAAACCTACAAGCTGGCAGTTAAACACAAAGAGACATCTACAGAGAGGCTTACTTATTCAGGCGGCATTTCTAGACATGTGCAGTGCAACACCGTTAATTGTGTGACCGAGTCAAGCACTAACACAGAGATATGCGCCCCAATATTAGAAGAGGAAACACAGAGAACCCTAAAATCAACGAAAAATGAAGAAGAACCGATGTCAATAAGGGGATCGTCCCTCTTGATTGGTAGTTCAATCCTGCAAAGAGTGAGGACCCGTGGATTGAATAAATCGGTGAAAGTTTCCACAAACAGAGGAGCCAAAGTCTCACATATCAAAGAAAAATTGGCCAAAATGGATGTGTCAACCTTCCATAATATTATCATTCAGGCGGGTGGGAATGATGTTTCAAGCAACCGCGACCCAGAAGCAATTGAAAACGACTTCGTGGAAATTATCTGTGATCTACGGAAACGGCACCCGGGAATACAAGTATACCTCTCGGAAGTTTTACCACGTAGAGATGTAAATGTGAGTGAAGTAAATGAAATCATTAGATATGTGTGCAAGGAGAGCGGAGCTATTCTTATCCCGATGAGCAAATCTTTCCAAAAAAGTCAAGCAAATGAGCTCTACTGGAAAGACGGCATTCACTTGTCCGATAAAGGCACAGCTGAATTGTTAAAAAACATCGATCAGTATGTCCCTATTCTGAAACAAAAGGAAAGCAGTGTTCACGCCGATTCATTTGCAGTAAGGAAAAGTTTTTGTTTCTATTGTGGAGAAGAGGGCCATTCTACTCGGAACTGTAGACACGGGAAAAAAGTATCGTGTTGGCAATGTAGGAAAATGGGGCATAAACAAAAGTTTTGTTCCTTCTAGGAAATCGGCAAAGAAAGAAATGCCGTTGAACAAAATCGTAGAGATCCTGAACTTTATGTCCCAAATACAATGTTGTCTACTGTAAATAATATTTACTCTGTTTTAAATAGCTTATGTGATGAGCGCAACAATATTGATTGCTCATGTGAAGACCACTTATATATCCCTAAAATTTTCAAAAAATGTACAAATGCTCAAAACAAAAATGTTTTAAATATCAATGTCCATGACGGTATACAGAAAAGTAGCCAAACTAAGAATGTTACACAGATAAGTCCTCCAAATAATTTAAATCAGAAAGATAATGTACCGAAAAAGCTCTGCGCACAAAGTAATATTACTGGATTTGGACTGGTTAAAAGAGGTTTGCGTTTTGGAAATTTAAATGTATGTCATCTAATACCCAAAATTGACGAAATCAAATTGTTGCTTCAAGACAAACATTCTCTCGATATTTTAGGCCTCTGTGAAACATTCTTAAATGATAATTACTGTAACTCAGGTTTAGATATCGATGGATTCACTTTCGAGAGAAAGGATAGACATTTTAAGTCAGGTGGGGGAATTATTGTTTATATTTCAAATGATATTACTTACAAGCGTAAAACTGAATTTGAAGTAAGTAATATTGAAACAATATGGCTAGAAATCAATCTTAAAAATTCTAAACCTATTTTTTACTGCTCTGTATACCGTCCACCATCTGCTCCCTCTTGCTGGGTAGAGGATTTCGCTAGGGAGATAAATATCGCCTCCTGCTGTGACGACAGTGAAATTATTATTACAGGTGACTTTAATATTGACTTACTCAAAGACCCCCCGCTATGCTGGACATCTGCTTTAGAGGAATTTGGACTAAAACAAGTAATTAATGCACCCACTAGAGTTACTAACACCTCCCGTACTCTTATTGATCACTTTTATACCACCATACCAGATAACATATGTGAAGTTAGTGTACCCCCAATATCCTTATCTGACCATTACCCTATTTGTGAACTTTAATGAAGCATATTTTCTGACTGACCTAACAAATGAAAATTTTGATAACCTTACAGAATTACACGATCCTAATGACATTCTTGATAAATTCTATATAATGTTTAATAACGTCCTTGACAAGCATGATAAAATAAAATGTAAGAGAGTTAAGAGTGAAACTAGACCAAAGTGGCTAACTAAAGAAATAAACGAAGCTAGACATTTTCGAGATTTTTATCACCATAAAGGGGATTATGAAAATTTCCGAATATGGAGAAATAAAGTTGTACTCCTGATTGACAATGCAAAAGCTTTGTATTACAAATCAGCCATTGAAGACAGTTCAAATCCAAGAGAGATGTGGGGATATTTAAATCAATTGGCGTCTAATACTAAAACTTTTACTCCTTCCCATATCATTCATAATGACTCAGAAACTAACAGTTCACAAGAAATTGCTAATATTTTTAATCAACACTTTACAGGAATCTCAAGTAAACTTCTAAATAATTTACCAAACTGCGAATTCAATCCAGAATAGTTAAGACAATTCACAAAATCTAAACTTGGTGATAACTTTTTTAGCCTTTCAACAATCAGTGAAACAGAAGTATTTGATTCGTTGAACGGACTTGATGTCAATAAATCTGCAGGTATTGACTTCATAGGACCTCGTCTCCTAAAACTAGCAGCAAGTATCATTAATAAATCAGTCACTCATTTAATCAATGCTAGTATCAGTAGTGGTAGTTTTCCATCAAAGTTGAAACAAGCAAAAGTCACCCCTGTATATAAAAAGGGCAACAAAGCAGACCCCAGCAACTACCGTCCCATTTCTATACTTCCAACACTATCCAAACTAATTGAAAAGCACATAGCTAACCAAATGCGAGATTTTACCTCCACTTTTGATCTTATAACAAAATCTCAGTCTGGGTTCAGAGAATTTCACTCTTGTCAAACAGCACTTACTAAATTAACAGATGCTTGGTTGCATGCTATGGACGAAGGTAATCTCATATAGGTATAACATTTTTGGATTTCAGCAAAGCTTTTGATTTAGTGAGTCATGACATTCTTATTGAAAAATTAAAGAACTACAACTTTGATGAATTGTCAATTAAATGGTTTCACTCATATCTAAATAACAGGACACAATGTGTAAAAATTGGTACAACTTCTTCTGATGTCTTATCTGTCACAGCAGGAGTGCCACAAGGATCAATATTAGGCCCCCTTTTGTTTTTGTTGTATATTAATGACCTTCCCTTACATGTTAGTCATGCAAATATCGATATGTTTGCTGATGACGCAACTCTGCATATTTATGAGAATAATATATTTAGTATTGAAACGGCCCTAAATTCTGATTTAGAAAATATTGGAAAATGGTGCTTAGAAAATCAAATGGCTCTTAATATTGACAAAACACAATGTATGCTGATGGGTACTAAACAAAGGAAATCGAAATTAAATAATTCAAATCTTAATTTACATGCACACCTTAATAATGTTGAAGCAGAAAAACTACTTGGGGTTCATATAGATCAAACGCCAAACTTTCATGACCATGTAGACTCGGTCTGCAAATCTTTAACATATAAATTATTTACTTTGCGGAAAATCAAGAAATTTCTTCCTTTGAAAACTAGAAAACTGTTTTACAATGCCTTTATCCTACCTTCTATTAATTATTGTCTGACTATCTGGGGTAATGCACCACATAGTTACATGGAGAGAATCCATAAGCTTCAAAAACGGGCCGCTAGAATTATACTTGATGCTGCCCTGATGCTCCTTCTAAGGCATTATTTGACAAATTAGGGTGGTTATCTGTATTTGACTTAGTAACTTTGCATAAATGTATCTTGTTGTACAAAATATTTAACAATCAGAGTCCTTCTTACCTACAAGATTTATTTATTTGTCAAACTTCAAATGCGTATACTTTACTTTCAGAATCTAATTTTGACCTTCGCCTACCAAAACACCGAACAAATTTGTTTAAAAATTCACTCCAATATTCTGGAGTTCATATTTGGAACAGTTTACCTTTAAATATAAGATGTGCACCAAGTCTGCCAGTCTTTAAACGAAATGTAGAAAAATATATCTTCACCAACAGAACTTGATTACCTCTGATTTATATCTTTTGCACATGTATATAATTTATGTATTGTAAAATCTTACTGATATTACATATTTATAACTTTTTATGTCATCTTAATTTATTTTTTTTATCATTGCTATTTAATTATGATTATCATTATCATCATATGACATAAAACATGTACTTGTATTTTAATTGACTTGCTAAGTTGTTTGTATATTTGATTGTAATATTGTTGTTGTAATTAGAAGGTCCTGGGGAAGAATAGTGTGTCATACTAATCAGGCCACCTTCTCTAAATAAAGTATTATTATTATTATTATTATTATTATTATTAAGGTTTCGTGGGCATTGATTTTCGTTGGTTTAAAAGTAACACTGTTCAATTTTTAATCATAAAAAATTCGTGTGGGAATTGTAATTTCGTTCCTAATTGTAAACAACGATATAAACAAAATAAAAACCCCAACAAATATTCCTGCTTTTACAGTATATATTAAATATAAAGGAGGTCAACATACCTTCACCTGGTCTGCTCATTTTGAGATGAATGATATTAACGCCTCCAGATATGATTCCCACTTTAAACTGTTTTTCATTCTTGAAATGTTTAGGTTGTCTGCTGATGTGAGGACAGCGGCAAATGTAACATTTATATAGTTGTAATCCTTTTGGTTTAGCCACATGGCCTAAAATAAAATTAAGTTTGTTTGCAGTTGCCTACCGACCCACTGAAAATGCACCCGACCCAAACTTTTTTTTAGCCATTTGATAATTTTATTTTTTTTTTAAGAATATTGAAAAAGTTTTGTTTTTCAAATTTTGACACGTTTTTTATCAATCAGTGGTTTATAACAAGAGTGTGATCTTACTCATGTTTAGCAGGCCTATGATTTTTTTTTCAAAAAAAAAAAAAAGAATCCCTACCTACCTACCCAGTCTAAAAATTATAGGTCGGCAACTGCAAACAAAGAATTTTTTAAGCTTTGCCCATTTTAACTACCTTCGTCGAGTTCGGTTCAGAAGAATCTATTACAGATCTGTATAATTCCCTCGTCTGTCCAGATCTTTCAAAGTATGCGAGAATGGACGTATATTGTAGAATAAGTGGGTTAGTCTCTAAAATTGTAAATATACATTTAGAGATAAAATATATGTTTATTGCAGGTTGATAAATATGGCATGTTTATATAGAACAAGTGGTGACGTCAGGCATATTGCATATGCAAAAATCCTGTATTTATTACTAAGTATGTAATAAATTTTAATAAGCTGCACAAGTCTTGGAGCATTTACCCATAATCAGTGTTGTTATGATTTTGAATAACGCTGTTAAATATTCTTGTTCGTTTGAGATTGTTCGAATAAGAACATCAGATAAACATATATTTCAATTTGTACACATTGCCCGCGTGATGCAGTAGTTAGAGTGTCTGCTCTAGAGTCGCGAGTTGAGTTGATTTTTACGTCGCGGGCTCGAATCCCAATGTGGGACATGGAGACCGGTCCTTCAGATGAGACCGTATAAATCAAGGTGCCGTGTAGCAGTAGGTACTGGCACGAAAAAACCTCACTACTCAATGGTCGTAGATGCCAAATATAGGACAAAATTTGCAGCTCTCCACAGGCAAGTAGTGGCGTCTCCATAAGAGTGAAAAATTCTCGAGAGAGACGTAAAACAACATACAATCAATCAGTCAATCAATTTGTACACAAAGGATTGGATTCATTAGACGTGTATATCTTGTAATGCAATCTGTCATTCAAGCTAAATTAAAAAAAAATACTTTCAGTTTTCAGGTAAGGATGTAATGTCGCCTCTGTGAACCTCATTTCATTTATTTACATGACTTTTTTTTCACAATGTTATTGGGGTCTGTATTGAGATTGGTAATTTTTTTTATTGTGGTTGATAATAACATATATCTTCTAAAGAACTTTTGACTGACCTCAGATTGACTATAGATGATTATGGCCTATAAATAAACTTTTGTGATAACTTTGTGAGTGCATGATTTATTTTTACGTGATGACTTAAGTTTGCAATTTTTATTTTTAAATAATATTGTGATAGGTGTATTCTTACATAATTATTTTGTGGTGGGTTATTTTATAGATTAATTTTGTAATGAGTTTATTCCTACGTCATGGCATTGTGTTGGGTCTACTATTACCTTTTTGGCAGGCATTTCTGGTATACCCCCATCTACAGCTGCAGGTGTCTGGTCCTATACAGGTACCTCGTCCATGACAATTTCCGGTACAAAGAGCTGGAAATACATATGTTTTCTTACATCATTGACAGTTGCTTTTTCAAACAGACCAGCAATTTACTTACCATTTCAAAGGTTATTTGCAAAAAATTGTAATTGTAAAAAGTAAGTTAAAATCATTCTGATTGTATACACATGTATTCTGATGACGAACTTATATGGTCCACAAATGCCAGAATGCATGTGCAGAAAATTACTTAGTCAACAAATAAATAAAGTATTAGTCGGACGCAGCTTAAACCACAAATGAACCACCCAAAAACGAACAAACTTTATTCCGAAGAAAAAGAATTTATATCCGTTTTTGAAGTCATTTAAACTGTAGCACACATAAAGAAAACGTGAATTTATTCATGTATGCGTTAATATTGACACTTGCTGCATACCTCGCATGGAATCAACTGTGATTGGCCAAAACCGATAAAAAATATTATTGCTTGCCAATAAACAAAAAAGAGGGAAAGTAATAACTTTAAAGTTCGTAAATGTCAGAGATGAGATGAGGCCCTAGGGTCATGAAACAGACTTAGACTTCAGTCAAAAATTTTAGGTATGTAGAAAATGTTAAAAACCTGGTGAAATGAACTCTTATGTTCTTAAAAATCACCAACTTAAAACTTGTGGGTCTTTTTACCATATTCTGGACAAAAGTCATTTTCCAAGTTGCTTTTCGTTCTATTCTTTCAAGTTTTTTAGTTATCGAATATCTCAAGCCTAATTCTACAACGTGTTCATGTACTTCTTCACCCTAAAAGTATATTCATTTAAGTTCTGGTCCAGGGATCATGAAACATCTTAAACTTAAGTCAAAAGTTTTATGCTTTGGTAAAAAGTTGTAGAAATTAAGCAAACGAATATATGTTTTAAAAGTTGCTGTACACAAGTTTTTTTTGTCTGTTAATTTAGAGATTAATCTGTTATTTAATAAATATTTTTCAGTGAAAAACATGGAGATAACGAACTGTATTTAAGCTCAAAAATCCATTTAACAATATCAAATAGGAGCAGAGCGAACATGGACCTCCAAAACATCAGAGGTGGGATTAGGTGCCATGGAGGAGTGGCCATAACCCTTGCAATTGATAAATTTTGACTAAAGTCTAAGTCTGTTAGATGATCCTTTGTCTTGATGAGGCCCGAAAACCACTTAATATAAGAAGGAAAAATTTAGGGAACACAAATTTTTCAATTGGCGTCATAATTTCATAAATGCATGTTTTATAAATTCAGTAGAAAATAACAGCAAACGATAGGCAAATATAAAAAAAAAGACAATGACACTTTCTCAGAATGGATTAAATGTATCAAATGTATATCGTAATTGTGCATTAAGTGATTGAGGAGCAATATGAAAACCATTTATCCTTCTATCTTCGTTAATGAAAAAGTAAAAATTAGAATTAGATAGATTACACAATCATTATATTCTGGTACCCGCTGACAAAGCAGGTACACGTGTAACAACATTGTTTTTGCATGTAAGGCTAATTATTTGAAATGTACGATGGAGGAACTAGGATTTGATTCTGCAAGTTGTAATATTTATCCAACTTATAACCATAGCTCTCTGTCCAAGGAGTAAATTCTTCAAAACCATACTTAAGGTTTCGTCAAAGGTCAACATGTCTAAAAAATTATTTTTACAATAGCTCCAAAACTACATGTGTAGTATGAAGTCAAAATGTTTACAATTAAATATATTATAGTAATGTAAATATAATTACATTGATTAATAGATAGAAAGTATCACTTGATAACTAATATTTTTGAAAAGATATTTTTTGAGAAAAATTGTATCAGAAAATGGGCATATTTAAAGAGAAATGCACCTGCTTAATTCTGTCCTTTTTGTGAAAACCATCATTGCAGAAATAATAAGTGTTTATCATTGAAGGGCAAGTTGGACGTGAATGGTCTCTGCAAGGCTGTTTTTGAAAGCATGACATGTATAAAGACAAGACCCCTATAGAACCCGCCATTTGCAATGTACTTTCGCTTTCAAGTCT